CTTAACAGAAACCCATGGGGGAGGGGAAGGGGAAAAAAAAGTTAGAGAGGGAGGGAGGCAAACCATGAGAGACTCTTAAAAACTGAGAATAAACTGAGGGTTGATGGGGGGTGGGAGGCAGGGGAAGGTGGGTGATGGGCATTGAGGAGGGCACCTGTTAGGATGAGCACTGGGTGTTGTATGGAAACCAATTTGACAATAAATTTCATATTAAAAAAAAAGTTCCTTGCCCATAGCAATGCAATTCCTATTAATGGAAATGCAAACAAATACAGTCTATAGAGAATATAAATCTGCAAAATCTTATTCTCATTCAACTAGTTGTTACTTCTTACTGGTTCCCTTAATGATTAATTATTTAAATAAAGTTTCTGACACGTTTGTGCACATATATATGAGTCATGATTTTTACCTTTGAAAATTCCCTTCTAGTAGTAGTTAGATATTTATAGTAATAAGAAAAATTCAGTGGTTTTTATTTGTTTTAGCACTTAGAGAGTACAGTGAGAGACTGCCCAAGAACTTCTAAAAGAGGGAAGTAAAACTGCCCCTAAGCCTTAAATTGTGAAACAATATTTATTCAATTGGAGTAAGGGTACGCAAAATCGCCATTAAGCCAAAGAAAGTGCTTAGGCGTATAAAATTTGCCCATAAGTTGACTGCATGAATTAACGTGGTAATGTATCCATCAGAAAAGTATTGGTAAATTCAGAGAATAGTAAACGTGACATGATTACAAAAAGTAGTAGTGCCCTTCATTGGAGCCTCCAGACAAGAGTGTGGTGTCTTGGCTTCAGGACCTACTTTGTGCATTCCTTATGATGGGGTCTATCAGGCTTTCTCAGTTATAAGCCATTAATATCACAATTCCATAAGGCTTAAACTTATAAGATGTTTGTTTCCCTCCCTCTAGATTCCCCCCTTCTTTTGTTTTGTCAAACAAATACAATATTCAACTGCAGCCATTGTGTCTCTTACCAGGAAGAATGCAGAAGTACTTAGCTTTTATGTAGCACTGAAAGGCTGGGTGGTCACTCTGGACACTGGTTATCAATCTACACTGGCTGCCACGAAAACTCTCACTTTCCCAGCTCACGTGATCCTTCGGGGTCTACTCATTCTGCTGTTTGAATGGCCTAAGGTGGCAAGGGCAGATCTGCTCTTGTTTGGCAAGAGAGCTCCTGTGAATTAAAACTGATTTGATTTAAAGAAAATGGCAAAAGCCGTATTTCATCTGAGCCTGTGAATCGTGATCTTTAGCTGCCACATGTGTGGTAAATGGCTCATGTTCAGGTCTATATCCCTAATTATAATTTATCTTTCCACATATATGGCTAGGGAGAGATAGTGTGCCAGCCAGATGCCAGAGTCTGGCCCTCTCAGCAGTTATATTTCCCTTTGTTAAATAATAAATTGCAATCTCAGTTATAAGTTAGCTTTCCACATGGCAGTCCCACAGGGAGATGTGCTAACTGAAGGACATGGTTTCTTTCATCTTGCTAAGCTACATTGCTCATTGACTTTAATAGTTTATTTGGATTTTAGTCTTCAGATTGTTATGTTTGGTTAATTGTAGTTCACCCCAGGAGATGGATTCCTATTGACTTTGTTTGGAAAATTAACATCTAAGTGTGCAAGGGCAGAGGTCCAGATCCATGGAAAACTCACCAAGAACATTCTATCTAGAAAAGTTTCTTGAGAGGAGGTGCTTAATTTACCTTATTCCCTGGGAAACACTATACTGACGTGTTATGGTGATGTAAATGATTATTGCTCATTTCGTGACTTGGACACTCTAAATCGAAGATACAGATTAATTCAGGCTGTTAAAATGAAATACATACCAGGATTAGGAGCCATCTGATTTCATTGTGAATTCCCAAATAACCCAAGAGACAAAGAAGAACAATAGCAGATCCAGTTCCAGTCAAAATTTGAAAAATATATACTATCAGATGATTATTTTTATCTGTGGAAACCACAAAATAAATGATTATCAAGTGGTATTAAAATCCTACTTAATAATATATGCAGTAGCCCAAGATTTCTGTAAGCAGTTGTCGCCAACCAGTAGGATTCTCTTTCTCTCCCTCTCTCTCTCTCTCTCTCTCTCTCTCTTTTTTTTTACTTCATTCTGGAACCTCCTATTTAGTCTTGGCGACTTTTCTTCCATTAATGACATGATGAAAAAATTCTTCAATCTCAAAAGATCTCTTTCCTTTTATCTTATTGATCTTCACTGTCTTCTATGAAAGAAATTTTTTTTTCCCTAAGGTGAAACTCTTTTATGTTTAATGTATATGCAAACACTTATGAACTTATTTGAGTATCTAATATGTGTGGATCAATTTTCTTATAAGAAACTGAGTTTATTGGTAATATGACTGCATTGAAATTGTATTTTATTCTCTCTCCACCTAGACTGAGCTCTCTGTGCTAGAGACTATATATATTTATACAGTCAACAGACTAACTGTTAAATGCTTAGTGTTATGACACAGACTGTGGAACACTGAGTGCTTACCAAATATTTGTTAAAAAAAAAAGGAAGAAGAAATAAATTAAATATGCCCTAGGTTTTATGGGAGAACAGCGGAGGCAGTGGTGTGCTGGAGCCAGTTTGTTCTGGCTCATAAATGCCAACTGTTACATTTTCACAAAATTTGTAAGCCAACTTAGCTCACGGTGACACTGTGAAATCAGCCATCGTGACATTACGTATTTAAACCACAGAAATCAGTAAATACCATAAATCAAGACTTTCTCTCCCAGAACTGGTTGTTAAATATTTACCAGCACACCCCTAGGTACATGAGCATCTGATCCAGGAGGGGGAGGAGGTTGGAGAGTAAAGGTAGGCAAGATTGCTGGAGAAGGCAACACTGAGCATGGGCTTTAAGTGATAACTGAATATATCTAGATTGGAATGATAGAACAGCACAGTATGTGTAGGAAATTCAGCTTTGCTGGCACTTAGGGTTTGAAGCAGGTGAAATTGGGCAGGTTTTCAGGGGCCAAATTATGCACACTTTGTATGCTCTAACCCAGCCTTTCTCACTGAAATTAAACTCCATGAGGACAAAGTATTTACCTTTCTTGTACACTACAGTATCCTCAGCTCACAGGATAATGCCTAACATGTAGAAGACACTCTGTAAATACTTGTCATATGAATGAATAAGTGCAGTGGGGAGCCAGAGAAAAGCTTTTAATGTTGTATGGATGGATTTTCATCTTAAATTATTTCACGGGCCTCTGGAAGATGGTTGAGGAAGGAGATCAGAACACAAGGCTATTGGATGCTATTACTATGGCAGAGGGAAGATGGGAACCTCACGTAGCATGGTGTTATTACAAATGGAGAGGTGAAGGCAGAATAGTGTTTAAAAAAGGGTAAGTTAATTTAAAGTTGCAGATAAAAGGGAGGGGAGGACCCAACCAGTTTCTTGCCACAAACTGGTTATTTTCAGTTCCATGTCTTGAAACCTTAACTGAGATTTCACTAAATACATACTTTCAAATATATAATTTTTAAGAGAACTATCTCTCAATTCCATAATGGAGGGAAAGAAAAAAGGAAATGACTTTTGCTCCACTGTAACTACTATGTTACCAAATTAGATGCTGTATGGGAAGTGCTTAGCCCAGTGTCTGGCACAGAGTCAACATAAATAAGTGGAAGCTATTATTGCCTCTCTTCTGGGGAAGGAAAGAAAAAGACAGAAAGGTTGTCGTAAGATCTCCACACACCCCTGTACTCTGAGCAAACCACTAATGCACTCAGACATCATGAATACTTTCCCATAAGCAAAGTATGCAAATGGAAGACAATAAAGTTACTAGGCACTTAGGTGTAGCTGAAGTTTAAATTGTTCAATACTTTGTAGCACTTTATTACCTATTAAACTTTTTTACTCAGCTTTCATTTTCCTACAAACATATTTTATCTTACTTGAAATCCACTAAGAAAGACGTTGGCCTGCTTTTTGTCATATTTTTAAGGATTAACAGTACTGTTTAATAAAACTCACTGAGGTAATGGATATCATCTAAATCTGCACTTGTCTCATAAGGTAGCCATACCCAACAGCCGCATCTGGCTATTGAGCACTTGAAACTGTGGCTTCTTTCCCTCCCACCAAAGAGATGTATATAAAAATAATCTTTAGCCTATTAAACTTCAGTCCACAGTGACCACAGCATACCACAAAACGGCAAAATAAAGATTTTTTTTATCAAGTTACCTGCATTTAATTATTTTATTCATTTTGGATAATATTATATTTTATTTGTAACCATGTGATGGTGAGAGCAGATGGTAATTGAGTTTTAAAAGAAATTATTTAACCTGGGCACTATCAAATATGTGGATCTCCATTATCTTTTCATCCAGAGTTTATTAGAACAATCCAGTCTTCCATTTCTCTCATAGCTCTTGTCCAGCCAAAGTTCCTAGTTCTCTCTCACCAGATTCATTCTCCTTTATGGTCTTGGTTTTAAGTCCTATTAGTTAGAGATGTTTCTAATAGTTAGAGATGTTTCTAAAACCAATTGGCAAAGAGCTTCATAGGGAAAAAATTGAACAATACTCAATGAAGTTTAGAGAAATACTGCCACCTGCTGAATAAATCATGTACGCAATTATTTAAAATGGAATGCCTGAGTTCACAAAGAGAGCAAAAGAAAAATAGATACATACCCAAAGCTGTGAAAAAAATATTTCTATCTAATAAAAGCCATGCACCAAATCCCAATAATAAAAGTCCAAGAACCTACAGAAAAGACAGTCGATTATATTTTTGTGATTGCCAATAAAAATGCATTACATTTTCTTTACTAAATAATTATAAAGAGTCTTACCAAGAAAGCTCCATTAATGAGATTAAGAAAGTATTTAAAAATTAATATTTTGTTTTTTCTTAACATTCTTTTTCCCTCCAGATATTGGTGTTTCTGAAAAGATAACCACAACTTTTACTATTAAGTCATCACAGTACAACTTTAAATAGTTCTGCCTATTCAATCATTTATTTACACATTTTTCTTCTTATACCAGTTGTCAATGTAACATTCCCCTCCACCCTCCAGAATATAGGGACATGCTGAAGACATCTTGAAATGAGGTCTGTCTTTTCTATGTGCACCAGGGAGTTGAGAACAAGAATTTGTATAACAAATTGGCATTTGTATAACATGCCAATAGGCACCTTACTAAACTTCTTGCAGTTTTCAGAAAGTAATATATTTTATTTTGTTCTTATTTTAACACACCTTCCTTGCTGGGAAGCTTTCCTTCACTTCTGCTTGTCCCTCCCTTTTTTCCAGAGTAATGTCAACTCCTCAGTGAGGTCTCTGTGAGATCTCTGAGTAGGTCTTGTGTACCAGGATACTCCCAGAGTTTAGCACATAGTAGCTACTCAATAGATATCTGTTGAATGAATAAATGAGTAGATGAATTAGATTATTTTATTAGTGCATAATTTAGTTTAGTGTACAATGGAAGGAATAAAACCAACTTACGGCTGTGTTAATTAAAAGTTACTTATTTAAGGGTGCCTGGCTGGCTCAGTCAGTAGAGCATGTGACTCTTGATCTCTGGGTGGCTCAGTGGGTTGGGCGTCTGACTCTTGGTTTCAGCTCAGGTTGTGATCTCCCAGTTTTTGAGAACAAACCTTACATTGGGCTCTGTGCTGGCAGTGTGGATCCTGCTTAGGATTCTCTCTCCCTTTCTTTCTGCCTCTCTCTCTCAAAATAAATAAATAAACTTAAAAAATTCTCTAAAAATTATTTAATTTAGTTTCCTAAAACTTTTATGGGAAAGTCAACTCCTAGACCATTGGTTTTTGGTGCTTTGTTAGATATGAATGCTTTAAATTTTCTTGGGCATGTTTCTGGGTTTTCTCTTTTCCTTCACTGTTTCAATTCTACCTAGTACCATAGTTTACAGTGTTTTAGCACATGCAGTGTATAATTAAGATGATGAAAGCAGATTTAATAAGACTAATTTGAAGCTACTTGTCTCTATTTGCTAAGATCTATTTGTTGAATTGAAGGATGCCCTGAAAAGTGGAGGACTAAGAGATGTCTAGGTTAGAGTCTACACACTTCCCCTCCCTACTCTCACTTGAGGTCACATTCCTCCCTAAAACTCCACAGTTCTTCTTCCCAGCTGAAGGAGTCTCTCCAGGTTTTGTCTTCTATCATCTTCTTTGAAGTCTCCTACTGCCATTTAGTTTCTCCAGTTTCTGTCCTCCAGTCTTATTTTTAGATTCCTTCAGTGTCTGGCCTGTTTGGATAGAAGAATCAGTTGGAAAGACTAACTGGTTTTTATTTCAGTTTCTGTATGCTGTAGGTATATGATTGTGGCTTCACTTCTATTTACTTCAGCCTATGAGAATATTGGGATGCTCTCCTACAGCCTAAACAAGTTCTCAGGGCTAAAGTCCTGGTCCTCTGTGAATGAGAAAGAGAAAGTAGACTAGTGAACAAGAACACTGAAGTAACTCTGGTGTGAATATTGAGAGACAAAGATTTGGCCGTTGATTTGGTAATAATTAGTATGTTAGAATCAGGGCTAAAATGCTTTATCAAAAGATCCAAATACAAAAATAAACTGAAGCTTATTTCTCTTTCAGTCCAAGGTGGGTAACTTGTTCTTTTCTAGGAAATCATCTTAGGGACTTGGGGCTTGCTCCAGCCTATTCCATATCTGGCTCTCAGATTTGTTCACAGGGTCACGCTTTATAGCCAGCAGAAAGGAAATGGGGGGAGGGGGTGCGCCTGGGTGGCTCAGTCAGTTAAGCGTCTGCTTTCAGCTTAGGTCATGACCTTACAGTTCACATGTTCGAGCCCCATGTCAGGCTCTCTGCTGTCTGCACAGACCTTGCTTTGGATTCTCTGTCTCACTCTCTCTCTCTGCCCCTCTCTGCTCATGCTCTGTCTCTCAAAAAGAAATAAATAAGTAATCTTAAAAAAAAAAAAAAAAGAAAGGAAAGGAGGATGAGCAAACTCGGCAAGCATCTTTTAATCAAGTGGGATGAAAGTTGCACACTTCTCTTCTGTACATATTCCGCTGGCACATACTTAGGTCTCAATGGAGGTGGAGTCAACTATGTGCCCAAGATGAAGGAAAGAATTGAATTAGGGTGAAAAGAGCCAAACAAAATACCAAACAGTTAGGGAAGGGCATTGTAAGAGATCATTATAGGGAGAAATGGAGGGCTTGGATACAGTTTCAAGATGCATTACCATGAAAAAGAAAGAATCAGAGATAATCAGAATGATTCCTGTAGGATGGGTAAAGAAAAGAATAGTGATAATCACTGGCAATAGAGAAATTGGGGGAAAATTATAAATTTCATTTTTAGTAAATGAGTTTGAATTAGAAGAAGATATCTCCTAATATATCTTGTGGTTAACCACTGGAAATGGAGTGCAAGTAAATAGATATCATAGGCAATGTGGGAATTATTCACAGGGAGCTGATGTCATGGAAATGAATGAAAGAGAGTGGGACTGACTACAGATAAAAGTGAGCAGAGATTTGATAACAAACAATGACATCATTAGGAATTTCAATTTTTTAATGCAGACTTCTACAAAATGAGAACATAGTGAAAGTATGATCTCATGGAAATCAATAGAGGAAACATTTTCTAAAATAATGTTGCATGACATAGAGGTAAAAAGGGTAAGAATGCAATATTCTCAAGGTCAGCCAACTTGGTAAGAAGGCTGCTCATGGTACCTTCAAAACAGCAGTGTTTTAGTCTGTTTGGGTTGCTCTAACAGAATACCACAGACTGGGTGGCTTATACACAAAAGAAATTTATGTCTCACAGTCTTGGAGGTTGGAAGTCTGAGATCAGGGTGCCAGCGTGCATGGGTGGAAGCCTTCTTCCAGGTTTCAAACTTCCTCTTGTATCTTCCTGTGGGGAAAGGGGCTAAGGAGCTCTGTGGGATCTCTTTTATAAGAGCACTAATTCCACACATGATGGATCAACCCATGACCTAATCACCCCTTAAAAGTCCCATTTTCGAAAAAGTACCCTAAAAGTACCATCACATTGTGTCTAAAGATTGCAACATGTGAAGTGTGGGGGAATACAAACTTTCAGATCACAGCAAGCAGTTCACGTCAAAGAGTTAGAAGACAACAAATAGGGTGTCTAAGCAACAAGTCAAGGAAGCCTGTAGCCATATTTGCACAGAATGAGAACAGGGGATGGTCATATGCTGATCTTTCCAGTCACAAGCCCCACACACCGGAAACAACATCAATGAAAATAAAGATGTGCTAACACAAAGATACACAAGTTCTTATTTAAGTATTTGTAGTGTGGAAGAACTTTGTATTATTGTCATTATTTTACTATAGACAGAGAATTTGTTTTTAACTTAATCAAATAAGGTCCTGGTGTGGCATTTCTTTTGTTCATTTCCTGATTAGTTAATTAATGGTCCAATAGCTGAGATATTTATTAGTAGTATTAAAGCTACAGGGAAAGACAATTTACAATGATTTCCCTATTCATAGGTGTCATTTTTCACTAGTTAAGTAATAGTCTAATTACTTTTTATTATCATTTTTAAGTTGCTTCTAGGTGCCAGGAGATAGAGGCAAAAAAGTGAATAAACAACCTGTCAGGGAGTCAAATATCAAAACCTGGGGCCAACTCTTAATTCTGTGTTTGAGGTGTGGGGACAGGGAATAAGCACAACTGGGAAGTTTCAGAGAGAAGATAAATTTGAGATAATCCTTGAAGGATGCTTAAGAAGGTCCCAGTCAGACAAAAATGGGGTAGACAAAGGAAGATTTCAAGACAGATGGAACACTGTGTTCACAAGCTTTACAATGAAGGGTGTGGGGGCATGGGTCGAATGGCAAGAGATGAACAATAAGGCTAGAGAAGTAGATTCAGTAAAGATTGTGAAAGATCAGGTACGCTTTGCTAAGAAATGACTTTTATTTTTCTGCAGGTATTGGAAACCATATTTCCATCATCAGCGTGGAAGTCAAATTAGAAAAGAAACCTAAGACAGCGAGATACTTTATGAAGCTGATGTACTAGTTCACAACAAATGAATGTAGTCTAAAGTACAAGATAGTTGTGGGGATGGAGAACAGTACCAGGATGTGAGAGAAACAACAGGAGGTAGAATTGCCAGCAGTGGGATGTTAGAAAAAGCCCAAAACAACACTTGAAACCAGGTCTATAGAGCTTAAGTACTTGGGCTAGCAACATTATGCCATGTTTTACAATATGTCATTTATATGGGTTGCCTTGACCATCAAAGTTTATCCCCAGGATTGTCAATGACCAAAGAGACTCAGGAAGGTAAAATAACCTTCATGAGTTCACCTAGTTAATATTTGGCAGAGCTGAGAGTCAAACCCATAGATATAAACCACTTTCTTGCTACTCTTTCCAGGCCCCCATGTCATCATCTTCAAATGTAGATTATAGGAACATCAAAGGGATGTTGTGAAAACAAGATATGATGTGTTAAACAAGATTATGTTTGTAAAGCACTTAGTCTAGTACGGGGCTAAATGTTATTATGGTACAGTGATCTTTTCTTTGAAAAAATATATTAGAGAGAAAGAGAGAGTGTGAACAGGGGAGATGGGGCAGAGAGAGAGAGAGAGAGAGAGAGAGAGAGAGAGAGAGAGAGAAAGAGAGAATCTCAAGTAGATTTCATGCTCAGCATTGAGCCCAAGGCAGGGCTCCATCCTATCACCCTGGGATTATGACAGGAGCCAAATTCAAGAGGCAGATGCTCAACCAACTAAGCCACCCAGGTGCCCCTAGAATAGTAATCTGATACAAGGGAGGTGCACACGAGGTTGGGAAATGGGATGGGAACTGTAGGAAAGTGATGAACTCAAGTAGGTAGTCATGTCAGCTGCAGACAGAGAGCACCAA